CATTACGGCATTCTGGTTGGGAATTAATGTTATTACAGTATTATTAGAATATCAATGATGAAGTACGCTTTATTACACGGGTGACCCGGGTAGTGTCACCAAGATGAAGAGGACTCCAAAGACAAAAGAGCAGGATTTGTGTGTGTGGAGAAAATGCAGCTAAAGCTGATGGGAGATTTGAACTTATTACAGTAAAAGGAATATGTACATTTTTATAAATAATTTTACGGCAATAAATCAACATTTGGCATCATGAGCATGAGTTTCCATTGGGGAAATAATGTTATAATATTCAACTTAAACAAATTGTCGTGTTCACACCAGGCACCTTTTGTAAGCAGTTCAGAAGTCTTTAGAGGTACAATGTTTAGTAAGGAAGACTTTGTAAATGTGAGTTATTTTTTAAAAAGTTAAATCACTCCTGTATACAGTCCCGCAATAATTTCAACACATAGAAATTGTAAAACTTAAATGGTTTCTAAAAAACAGTTTAATCTAAGCGTTTAACACGACCACAAATTGTATAATTCATGTTAGCCAGACCCCGTGTGTTCAAAATAGCATTCGTTTTATTGTTCAAATAAAATTCCAAATATTGCCACCAAAAACTTGAATGAACACCATCCAGTTGAAAAGCAGTCACAATCTTCATTACTCGCGGTGGAAAGCAAGCCCCTTCAACACGGCGCGAGAATTCAAAGGGCACGGTGCATGGACGCTCAATAAAGCTTTTGCAGATTTCCATTTGCGAGACAATTAACATCAAACACCGCAATCATCAGTAACTTGGCAATTCTCACCAAGGGGACGCAGGCGTTAAAAGCACGGCAGCCTTTGCTTTTACTCTATTGACTTTTTCCCAGGAAGATGTTTAGGCACTGAACGGATCAGGAGTCGGTCTACTTGGGAAAAAGGGCCTGTTGCTGCGCAAATTCACTGTGTCCTGACAACCTTGACAAAGGTCAATAATTACCACCGCGTGGCGCTTTCACACCGGTGCTGTACCTCTCTCTCTCTCTGAGTGAGTTCCTGAAGAAGCTCCCAGCGTGTGGAGCGAAACGTCGGACATAATTCCGAACAACACGCGCTAGAACCCAAAAGCAGATCGACAAAGCTTCAAAGGCCATTGTTTTGTTATCTTTCAAATTGGCGACGAACAAAGTTCAAAGAGAGAGACCGTGTCAGCACTCTGCCCCCTGGTGACTACAGAATGTTATTTGAAGTTTAGTTATCCGGGTGTCAAGAGGCCGATGAGCAAATCCTTCGTGAATGCAAAATTAAGGACACAAGCCATAGTAGTGTGTTTATGGCCATGTAACCAAAACCATTGACCTTTTATATTGGTAAACCACTGGAGTCTGCGCCCCTTCAATAGAGGATAATTAGTAAACTCCATGAACTCTCTCCCGAAGCCAATTCCTGGCTAGCAGACCTCGATATTGGCATTGAGAATAGTTACCCGGGTTTCCATTTTTTCGACAAACGGTAGGAGTAGGGAATTTCTCATGGAATATGTTTTTCTGGGACACCCCCCGTCAACCGGCAGGGAAGTATTTTCTGCAGGTCAGCCACGCACAACCCCGGCTTAGATTAAGTCTTGTACAGGACGGATACAAAATGTATACATCCTTCAAAAAAAAGATACCGTTCTCACGAACAGGATAAAATGTATACAGCCATTATAACTGTGTCGATTTTGTTGTTGTTGGATAGGTGCATTGCTCACGCAGTGAATACGATTTAAGTCGAAATAAGCGACATGTGGTGGATTCCATCTCGTCGCAGACATACATCATAACGGTACTTTAAAGCACAGCAAATAACGCCAGTTGTGGCAGCCAGAGAATGTTACCCTACATTTTTATTAGACTCGGTATATGTTGCAGGGTTATAGCAATGCATCGAATCATCAATAAATATAAATTGGTCAACTCCACCGCTAATGCTACAAATCACGTGTGTAAGAACTTGTGTTTTTCGAATCGCACGTTGTGTGATGGGTTTGCCACGAGAGGCGCTACCATTCACTGCAATGTTTAAAATAGTTGATCCTGGAAATTAATAGTTGGCGCAAGGGTAAATGGCTGCACCACGAGTCAACTGAACGAGTTCTCGAAAACCCATGGAATATTTCAGTTGAAGTTAGCTTCTCGAGTTACACTGAAACTTCGATTGTTTTTTTTACTGAAATAAATAAAACAGATTTTTTTTAATTTATGAAACTAAAACTCACTCTTGCAAGGCTCTGCTTAATCGATATAAATATATAGCAGTGCCTACTACATCCATACTGAAGCCTCCTTGCCATGTATAATCCACCACACGTTTTTTTTAACAACCGCGGCTCATCACATCAAATTTCATTCCAGTTCAACTGTGAACCGACTCCAACAGAGAATCTCATCACGTGTGTTGTTTTACTTTCAAGTGTACAACACGTGTTAGCGTACACCACCGTCTTAGTGGATTGTGGTTACCAGCAGGCTATTATTCAGTAGGAGTCGGTTTTTCCAATCAGTTTTTCGGCTGGTATCTTACGGCTCCTGTTACGAGAGGCGCTACAATTCACAACAATGTTTAAAATGTTTTTTTAAACAAAAATCTCACACACACGTGATACAATTTTGTTTTCACTGTAACAGGTTTGTGAGCCAGCTGTTCCAATGTTGTTAAAAAGGGCCATATCCCAATACGTCGCCTATTGTGTGTACATGTATGTTTTTAAGGCAGTGTTATTAATGAATGTGAGTTTGAATGTGTGTTTGTATTGTTAATTTTGCACCTGCACGAAGCTTGTCCAGCTATGGTTTGCTTGCTTCAGCGTGAAAACGTCGGACTGGGTTTGAGTTTTGATATTGAGTCTCATCATCATCATGATCATTTCTGAAAACAATTGCCTCGAATGGGCATTCCGGACCAATGTTTTAACCTAAACGGGAAGACTATTGTGCTAATTATACCGCATAATAATAGTTTACATATATAAGGGGCCGTCCATAAATGACGTCACGCGATTTTGGACGATTTTTTACCCCCCCCCCCCCCCTTCGTCACACGGCGTCACAAAAAGTCAGACCCCCCCTCAAAAATGAAGTCACAAAGCTCTGCCCCCCCCCCCAAAAAAAATATAAAACATGCTTCAAATCGCCTAAAACTATTGTCATTGTAGTGCGTATTTAATGTGGCGCTGCACTCTGATGTTGTAGGCGAAAACATGTATTAAAAAGTCAATTCGTCACTAGTACAGCACTAACCGGTGTGTTGGAGAGCCAATTCGTCACTAGTACAGCACTAACCGGTGTGTTGGAGAGCCAAGCCACAACATTTACAATCTGAGTACGACGTTTCGCCAGTAATTGCAACTAGCTTCATCAGGCGACAGCCAGATTTGTGAAGAAGTCCACCTGTTTCGCTCCTTATATAGAGGCGTAGATGTGGTGACCACGCTTCTGCGCTCTTGCGCCACGTGGGGGGGGGGGATTACTGAAGCAACGTACATGATGCATGTGCATTATGCGAGCCCTCTGAACTTGTCCTTCCTGTCTATTGTGTGTATTAAAATAGCCGTACCAACGGTAATCCCTATTGAAGTATGCTGCTTTGTAGCCATGCATTTGAATAATGTATTATTTGATGAGTCGCTTTCACGCAGCACTAAGGCGGTAGCTTTCCGATTAAACTTATTTTTTTATTTCTTTCAATTTCGATAGATTATCTCATTAGTATTGGCCAGTAGTAGCTAGTTTTGCACAGAACTTCAACATCAATTGAGTGTCCTTGTTAGCACGCGTATTCTGCTACTGCTGACAGTTGTATTTTGGAGAATTTAATATTCATCTGATGTTATTTTAGTCTCGTGCTGATCATTCGTCCTGTTTGCCCAACATAACATTTACCACACATGCAATTAATCCTGTACACACCTTCTGTTGATAGCTTCGGTAATACATCTTTTGTACCAGATATAAAATTCTGTATTTTATGTACCGTGCCAAATCTGACTTGGATGTTTTGTTTTTCCAAACATCCGACTAGTTTATCAGTTACTCCCACAATGTACGGTATTTGTATCGTTTTAATTACTTGGGCAGTTTGGATGGTTTTTGGCATTCAATGCCCTGTTGATTTGTGCATCATTGTCACCATTCGGTTGCAGCGCTTCTTTAACATGTTGAATTTCACTTCTCAGACTGTCACCATCTGACACTTTCTTAGCTCTATGAATGAGCGTCTTGATGAGAGCAGATTTCTGTGCGGGGTGATGTGGGACTCTGCATTCAGATAGGCGTCAGCATGCGTTTTCTTTCAGTTAACACTGTTATTTTACCATTTATACCCCGTCCGAGCAGAAATGAAACAGTAAGACTTCACAAATCCGGCTGTCGCCTGATTAAACCAGTTGTAATTACTGACGAAACGTCGTACTCCGATTGCAAATGCTGTGGCTTGGCTCTCCAACACACCAGTGTGCTGTACTAGTGACGAATTGGTATATTCTGTTTACGTGACAACCCTGACTCGTTGGCTGTGTCGGGTGGTGGCGGGTTTAACGACATATTTACGCGATCTTACCTAAAAAAACCTCTATTATGGATGATATTGGTCGCGAAAGCCTACGTGTTATATGTAGATAATGCATGCGTCTGATCGCGTCCTCTAGTGGCGAGTTTTCTGGAATTGCATGTCTGCCAGCAGCATTGATATTTTGCAAGAGGCAAGTATTTGATCGCGCTTGGCTATGGGTGGATGGGCAGTAAGCCTAAGAGTAGTGACTCGCAGCTCGGAGCCACGTGGAGCACTCGGGGGGGGGGGAAGGAGTCGTGGCTGGCTGCATAAAGGATCCAGTGTGATCACATTACAGGTCCTGTTGACAAACAAAAATGTGCACCATCGTGGCCCACCATCATAATCTCCTGGACTCCGTGTGGGTGTATGCGTGTACGTGCCGTGCTGCAACATCAGAAACAGAGGTGAATAAATAACACACCGAAGTAATAGTGAACTTGACAATTTGATTTAATGAGAACCACCACCACTGACAGGTGGGTACGGGTTACATTAAACATGTTTTTGAAATAGATATCAATCATTGGACTAAATTACTCCATATTTTATCGAACGTCTCAAATAGAAGACATTCGTAATCGTTGAATTAATGCTTTAAAAGAGGGCTCGTGATTTTATATTTCATGTCAAGAATAACGTCTCGGAATTAAGACAAGCAGCCGCTTATTTTACATGTATAAAGTATTTAATATTTTCTCCAATTGTGCAATTGGAAGACATTTGTAATAGTTTAGCTACATTATAAAGTGTACATCACGAAATGGCAGTGTCACTCGTATGTAAAAACGCACGATTTTATAAAAGTACAATTTAAGTTATCTAAACAATATTTCACTTCGAGAGTAAGGTGTTAGTGTTATTGCATTTAATAGGAATTCTATACTAATACTCATCATCTCGCATTCAAGTTTTAGCTGAAATATCATTTGGGAAGGTTGTGAGTAACAGTTCCCTATAATTAACAGACATTTTTATAAAGTACGTGTGAATTTTGCAAAGTAAAATAACAGTTAAATATATTAATGCCAAATAGACACAAGTGCCTAGTATAAACATGCATTTCTTCTCTTCATACACCGTACAGTCTAGTCAATAACACTGAAAATGCCACTCAAGGACTCTGCTCACAGTATCGATATCAAAATATTAGCACAAAAGGTTTTCAATAAACCGAAAAGCATGTAGAATGTAAGCAGTACAAAAACCTATATAAACGTCAACAATGCTGTTGTTGTCCACCTATGATCGCCACAGTAGATATACATTGCATAACAATAAGGTATCTTGCTTTAAATAGGTAATATACAGTGTATATATATCAGTCGTAAACAGGAAATATTTTTTTCGCTAAACAATAGTAAAATTGTAACATTTTCACCACTTTAATAACCAAACAAATAAATTACATTCCCGTGCCAATCCACCGATTGACAAAGGCCTCCCCCATGCCGTTATCAGGTACATGGGGCGTGTCCGACCATACTTCACCACGATGGTTAGTGTGGTTTAGTGAAGGCGTGGTCCGGGACCAGTTCAAAACATCGCTCACCACGGACATGAGCCGTGGACGGGAATGGTTACCGCTGGATTCACAGCGCAATGAACTACCCACTGCAACCACCACGCCGAAATCGCATTACAAAGGGTAAAGGATTCCAACCCCACTCGTATACATAAAGCTATTACGACAGAACTACATCAGAGGGAGAGGATGGTGGGGGACAGCAGCGAGTCGCTGCCCACTGCCCCCAGTTCTCCACTGCCGCCACTGCTGCTTTGCCGACGCAGTGCTGACGCGCAAGAGTGAGACTCGCTGCTCAGGAAGTCCTGCAGCCCCGCCAGGCTCGGGTACGTGAAGACGTAGGAGCCGCTCCCGCTGCACGGAGTCAAGCTCACCACGGGTGTGTGCAGCGGCTTGGCAGACTCCGCCTCGTGGTTTGGTTGTAGCTGCGTGCAGGGCTGCACGAGCTGGCTACTCAGTTGCTCATGCTTGCGAGCCACCGGCTGCTGCTGCTGTTGATGGTGGTGCTGCTGCTGCTGTCCATAAAGGGGGCTGTGAGGCTCCCGTTTGAGCTGCAGACGAGGCAGTGGAAGGTTTGTGGGCCGTAGTGCCCTCAGTCCTTGCGAGCCAGTGGTCGAGTCAGGCGAGGTCTGCTCGAGCGCGGGGTGCTGCAAGCGGCACGCAGGCTGCTGCAATTGGCACGTGGGCTGCTGCAAGAGGCACGCGGGTTCATGCGTCGCCAACATCAGCTCCAGCTCTTCTCGCTCCTTCTGCAGCTGCTGCAGCTCGGCACGGATCGTCGCTTGCTCTGCAGCCAGCTTAGCCGTCTCCTGGAATAGCATAATGAAAGGGGGCCATGGTTAGAGCGTGTTGGCTAATTGCACCATTTAATTCAAGAGTGATATTTGTGCCAGCTCCATTCCTGCAAAGAGGAAGTCGAGTTTTACACACACTGGTCTTGACGTCATTTATCAGTGTCAATCTGTGCATCACAGTGCTATATAAAAGCAATTATAATTAATTGAGGGTATAACATTCTATTGATCGATTTTTCAGAAAGCCAGTTGGTACAATACTATTTAAATCTTCCGAACAATGAAAACATATACGTATTTAATGCTGCATTTAAACGATACTCATTAAAATAATGCGATTGCACGTGGATTGAGGCAATGGCTGTTCTAAGAAAACAAATGTGCCAATTCACCGAATATAACCAACTACTAAATGGAACCTCGGGCACAGGCTCAGAGCCACGAGTGAACGGTGCTGTGTGTAGGGGGTACCCACCGCCTCCAGCATGTCGGTCAGCTCCTGGCGCCGCGTGCGCACCTTGGCAGCGGCCACCTTGTTCCGCTCCCGGCGGATTCGCATCTTCTCCTGGTCCTCCGCACTGAGCTGCAGCACACAAGGGGTACATACGCATTAGTGTGTTAAATCATCAGTCTTGGCTGCACTGTTGTGTGCGTTTTCCGCACATGCGCATGCATCGTCAGTTGAGTTTAACCGACTTGTACACACTGCTCATGCACCTGCATCCCAAATATTCCGTGACTATATTTAAAGTCCACAGATCGATTTAATCCATGTGTTCTAATGAGTATAATGTTGCATAGATTTATGATAAATAGCAGATAAGGTCTGTACCCAACACTCACACTCGGCGTAACTTATCAGCACTCACCATTATGCTACACATTTTTTTTTTGCAAATTCGCCAAACTAGCATTCTCACACGACTCTTTGGTCTGCACGTATCTATTTAAATCAAGCCCAGCGCGACATTGACAAAGGTGTGCATTATTATTCACCTGTTGCTCCTTTCTGGCGCGGCCCCCCTTAGACCCTTGCACGACAGCTGGGGCCGGGTGTCCGTAAGGACGAGGCCTTCCAGGGCCCCTCCGTTTTGGCGCGGAAGCACCGCCGCTGCTGCTGCTGCCGCCGCTGCTGCCGCTCTCCGTCAGCTGTGACAACCACTGCGAGTCGGTGTCAAGAGTGGGTAGCGTACTGTATTCCTACAGGACACACATATGGGCGAGGGTTAGATTGTTTTTTTTATATATGACAAATGGAATCATTTTAAAAAATGAACAGTCACTTTGACAGCAGCTACGGCTGCCTTGGGTATATTTAGCAGGAGTTGTGCTTTGGATAGACTCACTCCTGCCACGAAAATGTGGGAATTACTAGGTCTATAAACATGCGACAATCTCTATTTCAAGTACATTTGAGCAGGTAAATGACTTTAACCTGGGCCGTATGGGATATGTGAATATTAATTCACATTACATAACCAAAGTGAATTTACAAAAATGCAGAACAGTGATATTGGGTTGGCAGTGGTGCATACGTGCAAATAATACAAAAGCATTAATCAATTATACTGCACTTAGGAGAAAACCATACGAGGCGACGTGTTATGCAATGATCCTGCTTCACTGCAGAGACAGAAAGCCAGAGATTTAGCAACTAATAGTTGGAGACTGTACTATACACCATGGGGCCCTGAAATGTAAATATTTTAATAATCTCTCGATGAAAAATGACCTAAATTGAACATGTAAAACAATTACCCATTAGATATCCAATTATACATTTATATGGATACCTCCCTAGCACCGGCAACGATTTTTTTACAGTACTTTTCACGACACCATTTTCACCCGCATCGTCTAAACAGTTTTGTGTTGAACTTCTTTCGCACCGTACGTAGCCAACCCTGCAAATCGGTTGAACCACCCACAACACGGCTGGCTACAAGACACCCTGGGCAACGCGAATCCGCGCTATCAATCACTGCAGAGAGGCGCGCGTGTTGCTGGGCTGGCTGATATCGTGTCTGCGTATCACCACACACAGCAGCAGCAGCAGCAAAGTGTGAAGTGCATCGCGTCGCGTCCTTCTCCTCCTCCTCCACCTCCTCCCACGCTACTCTACGGGGGGCTTCGCGCGTGGGGTGTTCAATTAGACACCTCGACGCGGCGAGCCGAGAGCGCGAGAGTTTTGCCAGCGATTTGTATTCGGGCACTCGGCGCTTTAAACTCAATCGTCTGACGGTGGTCCCTGCAGGTGGTGGGTGTCGTGCTGTCACGTAGCTTCCCCGAGCCCCTCCACCACAACAGACTTAACTCTGCTCCATTCGACTGCAATGTCACAATTATACCGGAGGAATTCGACGAGCTAGAAACGCTCTTTATTCCAGTTGCCCAGTAGTATGCATAATAAAGTCATCGCATTAATCCATACTCTTCGGTTCTTTCGGTAAAACCAAAGGGTATGGATTCCTGCAGTCACGAAAGCTTCAAATCTCCATTAATCACATGAATATAAATTATAATGAACAGCAGCCAATGTTGCCAATAATCAACTGCTGGATGAATCGCCTCCACAGGCATTGTCGTCGGTTGTGGTTTTTTGTTTGCTGAAGTGGTGTGGGGGGCTGCAGGTTCTGGCGTAGGACCGGCTCATACATCACTCGGCCACTGATGGTAGCCGTGCGATCCTCCCCAACCACTAACCCACCGCTCTTTTCGCTCATCGGCATCCTGTGTTGTTGCTATACAATTGCGACTGATTATATCATGTTCGTCCAGGCGAACCTGGGACACTATGTCGCGTAGGGTGCTTTATCAATATCCTACAGGAACTCCGATTAGCACGGTTGGCTCCGTACGGTGCGAAAGAAGTTCTAAATTTAAAAAAAAACTAGGTTTTATTTAACCAGGTAAAGCACACCGGAGCTAGGTGGCTCTTTTTCATCAGCGACTTGGCCACAAATGATAGCACAACGAAGTGGCGGCTTATCATCGTGACGAAATGGAGGGATACAATCAGAGAACCCGGAGAGAAATCGACACGACCAGGGGTAGCAAGAGAGACACGCAAACTCCAATTACACAACAGGCGTCATTGGGTGGCAATAGACACCGTGTCAACTGCACCACCACCGGCACCACCGGCACCACCAACACCACCACCACTCTCTCCTAAGTTGCGTGTGGTCGGGGACCCACCTGGTAACCCGATGGTGATCCGCTCCATGCAGGCAGGCTGATGAGGTCCGCACCAGCCGACTCCACGCTCAGCATGGCGGAGAGCGACAGGCTGTCGTAAGCGGGACACTGCTCGGTGTACATGGCGAAGGAGGTGGATGGATCGCAGCTGGGGATGTCCTCCGTCGTCGTCTCTCGTTCGTTCCAAACGACAGCGGTCGTCGTCGTAGTAGTTGCGACTGCGCCGAAGCAGCAACTTGACTGAGAAGAAACCCCAGCGAATGACGCCACAAGACGCAACTGGCGCCGCTTAAATAGGGAGTTCCGAGACGGCCTCTACCAACTACTCTCCAATTGTGGGGGGGGGGGGGGGTGTTATATGTGTTCCAACCCGCCTTCAATTATTCTCAAAACGAAACAATTACACGTGTACGCGTCTTAAATACAATAATATAATTGTCCGACGCGTGTACTAGCCGAGCGTGGTAAACTTGTGCTGAGCATTTTAAGCTTTCGAGCGGCGAATATTATTGTGAAGGAGTCATCCGTCCACTGCCTCCGCCATTGGTTTGTTCCGCGGCGGGGGATGCCCCGCGTGGGTGGGGCGCGCGTGTGCAGGGCATGACCATATTTGGTGTTGTCGCACCGGATTACCGTTTCCAACACAAACAGTGACGACATCGGAGGAGTCTCCCATCACGTGCTCGCACGCACGCACGCTATTCCGAGCCGCAGTTCGGCGTGCCGCGCGGCGTGGAAGGTTGGAGAACTGGAGTGGTTACGTAAAAAAAAATGACATACGTGGGTGGGTGTGTTTGCGTTTGTTTTACCGATACCGGTCACACATTTTTGGGGTTTTGTTGGTTACAATAAAATCGGTAGCTATGTCCACGAAAGCCATCTGTTTTGGGATTTTTTTTATTGTCTTACACGAGAAGTATACACGATGCTATTTACTTTCAGGTGCGTCCCATATTGTAGCTGCTGAGCCCGAGCTATAAATGCCCTGATAGTGGATTGGCCTTGTGCTGTTCGCCTGTTGGCGTTCTCCGGTCTAACACTGTTTGAGACTCGGCTCCAAAAAAAACTATCTCTGGTGTGGACCAATCAGTTTCAAAGAAAATGTATATATTATCAGAGCATGTGTTTTTTTGTTTGCATATTCACAGGTACGTGTGGTTCCTGCAGACAGTATTCCTTGAAACATTATTATGTTTGGTGTTTTGACATCTTTACACCTGTTTTGTTTAGAGGGGTTTTTTTTGTTGCCAGAAGGGGTAAAACCCGTAAAACCAATTGATATATTTCAGATACTGTTTGCTAAACGCATTATCGCAATACTATGATTCAACAGCAGGCGCGTGTTATAAGAAAGGCCTTACGATTTCGTGGAATACCGTGTGAGTTATAGCAGCGGTTGTCACCTCAAACCGGAATCATAACCAAACACAAGACACGACATTTACCTGGCTCATATTCAAGAATAAACAACATTGACCAGACCTGACCTATTTCTCAAACCAAAACTCACGAAGCATATTACATGGTGTCTGAGTCTGGTCAATCTTTTCGCGATTACCAATTAGCACACGAGGACGATGCGTGTGATAAGTAGTGAGTATTGCACATAATTTACACTCCAACGCGTAAGTGTTGGAGTTTGAGAGCTCCTGTTGTAGCGTGTCGAGCTCTGCAAAAATACTTGGCAGACAGAGAAGTAATTAAAATTCGCCTGATCACGACTCTTTCATCCACAAGGGGATACCAACAAATATATAATTGCCAGTTAGTTTGTTTATGGTCATTTGTGTCTGTGAAACATCGCACACGTAACAAATGGCATTAAAACAAGTATTGCTACATCGTTAAGTCGTGAATCTGTCGCACTGCAACTAATTGTAACAACACAAATTATCACACCACGTTGACGGTGGTGCACAAATAACAAAAACTGAACATATTTCGTCAATAACTTCCGCAATAAAAACATGTATGTACAATCGGTCACGTTTTGAACAATACCCCTTCACAGTAATTAGATGTTTCGGAAAATGGACCTTCTTTCAAGCAGAATAATATTTAGCTCTGATTTCTATTCAATGCTGTACTGTGCTGTTTTCTCTGTCATTTTCAGTGTTGCAAATGAGACCCCAACCCTGGCCTCTTGCGCTCTCGCCTGATTAAACAAAATAAACTTTCAACGTCAATTTCCATTAAACATATTTCTGTTGCGGAGATGAGTCGTTGCCCATAAAAGGTCTTCGACCACGAAACTGTACTGTCCCTCTTTTATGGTGAAATATTATTGACGAATGTATTGAGTTGTATTAAACTAAATGAGTATTTGCTTATAGTGCCCTATTGATGTTGACGGGATTGCTTGATTTAACTTGAATATATAATTCCAGAGATTTGTTTGAACAATGGCGGGCACACAGGACAGGGGAGACTCATTGTCTGCCTCTTAAAATGTAACATTTAACGTGCAGGGGGAGTGGATCCCAGCAGTGTTTTGTATATTGGGCCTTCTGTATTCGGTGAAGCGTGGAATTAGACAAATACCACAGCGAAGTGCTCACCTGAAGAGAATGCGATCGACACAACTTGGCGGTTATATCTGAGGTTTGTAAAATAACGATCCTTCTATACAGGCGTCGTTTGTGTATATTTGTCGTTCAACAAGTGGAGTTTTTGTTGTTGTTGTTGTTGTCACGTAATGAATTTGTGAACCATACAACACAGCGAACACGTGGACAGGGGACTCTTCATGGTGCGTGAAAATGTCATCTTTAAAACGAGGCGGGTGGGATTTTTTTGTATTCCACGACAATGCTTTTTTATCTAACGAATCGTTGTTGTCTCTTTAAATGTTATCAATGAGGAAGAATACGAACATGTCAGCTGCCAATTATGATTTAATATTTCACCAGTCCATACAGACCATCGGGGGCGAAGTATGGTCACACAACCCCACCGACCAGCATGGTGTTAAGGTGGTCCTCATCCAACGGTGGATTGGCAAAACAAGCTGGATTTACACACTTGTAGACATACGAATGCATGGACGGAATTGTATTTGTTGAATGGCTGAATGCTCGCAACTCATTAAACCTACTCGAACACATTAACATAAATAATAAATTACAACCCTCAGTCAATCGACTGCTGGATGAAAGCATCCGTATGCATTATCGATGTATAGGGGCTGTTTGACCATACTTCACCACGCTGGTCAGTGAAGGATAGTGAAGAGTGGGGTTGGGCGATGGCAGGACCGGTTCAGACGACGTCGCTTGGCCATGATGGACATCTGTGAAAAAGAGCTTTATAGCTAATCAGATTCCTCCAGTATAAGTGCATATTCTGATTCTGATATCATGTTATCTTGTTATCCCGGCCGGGAATTGAACTTAGTTGGTCGGGTTATAGCACAGTGCACGAAGCACTCTGGAATACATTACCACTACCACCAAGCCACCATAAATATGCCTCATTTAGTCGTCACCACCGCACACTTGTCCGCGCGTCAGCCAGCCCAGCCGGGAATGCAGCCAGCCAGCCAGCCAGCCAAACTTGTTTTATTCTAATATACAGCAGTATAACAACAGGATGATACAATGCACCCGATTCGCTTATGTTCCCTGTTCCGCGTGTGATTCCGCGTTCTGTCTTTCAGTGTAATAATATTCACCAGCATTTTTTTTTTGAACATTTAGCAACAACAAAAAAGTAGAAAAAAAGTGAGCGGACTTGGGCAGCACGCGTCGTCGCTGGAAAGCACGATGACCACGGTCAAGGATAATGATGGGAGTGGCAGTGAACGGGTCCGGGAGGGAGGACGTCCACCGAGGACCTCGAGAGAAGGCGAGAAAGAGGGCGTCGGCTTGTGGAGGTCTCGTCCAGTAGTGAATTGATGATGACGATGAGTGTTAAATGTGACTTCACATTAAATCCTGCAGTGACCCGTGTTCCACTTTAACATAATTGCTCGTGAGTGCATACAGTACTTGCAAGTGAGCAAAAAGGTTGTTGCAGGTGAGCAAAAAGGTTTTTGCAGGGCATGCCAGGACTTGCTTTTCATTCGTCGCCGACATAAGTGGTCACGACAACAATGGGTTGCACCCCACTCGTGTATTCCGGTCACGATTTTGAATGGGGGAAGGAGGGGGGGAGGCGTGGGACCTGAAGGGTTTCCATGAAACAATGCAAACAGAGTGCATGAAGATGTTGTCTCGTGTTAGTCTGTGTTTACAAATTAAAGTTTAACTCTGTTAATGATGTGTGTGCTTGCTCGTAATTGTACGCTAAGTACTTTGATTGTTAAGGACTTAGAGATTTGTGACACGCGAATAATAATAATGATGATGAGATTCTCTGTGGTCACTCTGCGGCAATGCCGCTGTCCAAGCGAGCCAAGCGCCTTAGATGAATACGAACCCCAATAAATCTTGGGGCAGATGTTGTCACTTTCGTTCAAAACGCTTCTAAAAAAAGCTATTGGCCAATCATCCAAACCCACGACCCGCTGAGACGCAGCGATAATTCCCTTGATAAATACACACAAATGGCGTTATTGGAAGTGGCAATCTGTGGACTACAGCGTCGCTTCAAAATATGTATATACGAGGCTGCTATAATGTGTTATTTGTGCGGAATTAGAAAATAAAGACTAAAAATTAATAATAAACTGTAATAATCACGTTGTGCGGTCATAAAGCGACACGTTCCATTGACTTGCTGGCATTAGAAGTGACTTATTCATATAGATGTATCAATTACAAGCATTATCAAATTTCTATATTGATCGATCACACTATTTCCCAGAGTGGTATTAGGTAATGTGTTGTGTCAGTTGGAACTGCATTGGCAGAATCTCTGCACGCCAGTAAACACTCGAATGTGAGACTGCGTAAAGAAGAAGCTTCAATTGTGGAGAAGTTGTGGTGTCTCCCGACAACAGACGCCTATTCATAACAAACAACTTTGAACACAACAACGGTCCTATTTGCTTGTCAGAGTCGTACTGGAGTTCAATAGTTGAGTTTATCCCATAACGGTCCATTGTTTTATGATGTTACAGTCATTCCCTGACATACATATGTTGGACACAGGCACAGGCCAAATGAATCAGAAAAACACGGTCATTTTACATCATCTTATAACTGGTCGTTGAAGCGTTCATCACGTGCACAGACAATTGTGTCTTTCTGTATATTATGAGACATCAGCAGTTTGATTCGGGGTTACTTTGGTTTAAATTTGCCATGAACCGTTCTGTGCACTATTTCAATAGAGTAGAGCTCACCTAGCCAACATATGTCTTACTTGTTAGATATGT